GATTTATATACTATGTATATAGTGTATACAGTATAATTAAACAGAAAATTAATGTGACTTTAACCAAGATTGGCAATTTTGCTATCCATTGAGAAAAAAAAGTTCGGATGGAAATCAATGGATAAATTTCATTGGTTTCATTACCAACTCTGACTATAGCGCAAATGCAAGTGCAAATATTACGGAAGTTGACTAAATCTGAGCGATCAACTAGGATTTTTTTTCGAAGGCACAAATCTTCTTCATGGGTTTTGTTTAAAGTCATAAACAAATTCCTTTTCAAATTAGAAAAGTTCTGAGCAATACCAATGTACTTATGTTTTGTATGATATTTAACAATTGTCTTATAAAGAGACGAAGGAGAAATGAAAGACACAATTAGATCTTGTTCATGCGTTTCATTGAGTAAGATAGAGTTTACGAGATGAACAGCAGATGAAGTGATTTTGACAAATGGAAAGGTAAATGTGACATTATTACGCCTTCTGAGACCGATACTATTCATAGCTATGTCAAATTGCATGCCAGAGCTATGAGTGCACTGAGGTGAAAATTTTTGACTAACATAGTTTGGTGTTGCTGTTGGATGGGGGACATTTTCAAATATGGAGTGGCTAAATCCCATTTTCTCTTGTAAAAAATATTTTTGAAATTCTTCTGATCCTTGCCGGAATGATGAATGACAGAGGACTAATACTAACTTTGGAGAGATAACATAAAAAAAATGGTAGGCAAATTGAAAAGGCAATCCTTTGGTAAGTTCTTCAGACACTCCTTCAAAGATTCCAAATCCGTTGTTTGTCATTAAAAATTCATCACTTTCTCCTGCTTGCCAAATTACAAGAAAATAATCAAACATACGCTGTTGGTAATCATCCCTATCTATTTCAAAAATAAGTGGATTGTCTTTTACTTCTTTATGCGGAGTCTTTAATATTTGAATGATATTTTGTAGCCAGACTTCTCGAGCATTTCTTAAGTTGCACTGATTCATGAATTCTTTTAACTTCAACCAAGTAGGGTAATCAAATTTCTCTTTGGTAAACTGAGAACATCTATGAGGTTTTCGATAGCCCATAATGAAAAGAAATTTGCGTAGGTTATTTAGGTCTTTTCTGAGTAAAACTATTTGACTTTCATTTTGAGATTTCTCTAAAATATTTCGAATAATTTTTGAAGCTTTTCTTTCGAGAAATGATAATTCATTTTCTACATGCATTACTTTTTCGTTATTAAGATCTATATACATATTTACATACTCATAAGTGTTCTTGATTATCTGCTCTTTTATAAGTTTGAAGATGGAGATTACACTTATTTTTCTTATACGATAAGGTTTGATGTTGGTAATTTGGTGACATTACAAATTTTCTTTCATAATTATTAATAGCAAAGTTGTGCAGAATAAATTGTGGAATGTAATGATGCTTTTGATTTGGAACTGGACCTTCTAAAGAAACTTTTAAAGGGCTTTCTAAAGGACCTTGCTTGGCTTCTTTTTTCTGACTTTTTTTTTTCTTATTAGCCATAATAAATAAAAAAAGAAATTATT